CCGTGGAAGGGACGGGCCGTGGGCAGCGATACTGCCGGTATCTCTTGCCGGCCGGCTGCAGCAGGGAGGAGCAGGCTCGCAAAGGCAGATAAACCGCCTTCAGGGTTTTGTACGGAGATAATCTCGTTCGTTCTGGTGGCGTGTAGTAGGAACAATCCTGTACTGTCCCGAAGGCGTTACCCGTAGGTACCAGGCCAGGGACACAGTAGCCCTGCACGTGTACTGATTCTTGTTCTGGCCTGAGGCTCTTGTGGCCCTTTACAAAGGGAAGCAGCTCTTATGCTCGTTTTACATACAGGGAAACAACAGTCGCCACAACAAAGTTCCTTGCCCCAGGCTGCACAGCTCATCAGTGCGAGAAAAGTTGAAAGTCAGCTGCGGTTGCTGCTGCTTGCATGTGTGAAATGATCTGATGTTAGCGTCCTTCTGTTCTTATTTCACTTCTGCTGTTTTTATGCAAGGGAACGTTGTTCTTGCAGTTTAGTGCTTTAAGGTCTGTTGCTTGCTGTGCATGTAGACCTAAGCTGTTGTGGTTTTTTTTTATTTTTGCCTGGAGAAAGTCTAAATAGAGCTCTGATCATACAGAAGATCAGTCACTCATATTTGCCAGTAACTATAGATTCTCCAGCAGCACAGTGAAATTGTACTGGCTTTTTCCCAAAACTTGCAGTGTTGGTAAAATTTGTACTCTTAGAAAAAGCAGAGGGTACCCAGCATGCGACATGACTCATTCTTTTGTCACTGAGCAACAGGAGGATGGTTTTGCTTATCTTTCTGCCCGCTTGCCCGCCGGCGGGCCTCTTTCAGCAGTCACAATCTGCAGAGGCGAAACCAAGTGGCTCAAGGTTAGGTAGGTAAATTCTGTCGATGAATAAGGCCACTGAGGTGCCACAGAGAAATGGAATTTCTGACTGGGATACGGCTAGTGACCTTAATAACACAGCTGGAAGCGGAGCGTGCGAATCCTGACATGCAGTCTTCTGCTCTAGTTGCTTCTTCCTAACTCGATCAAGTCTCTGCTTTGCCCTGTCGGTGCTTGGATCGCAGTGGCGCCGGATATGGGGAGACGTTATGCTGCTGCTTAGTCGATAAAAGAAGGTTTTCAGTGAGATGCTGTGGTCGTGATATGAGTTCACATGGTTCAAGGCGTTTGTACATGTGAGCGATTGTACTTGGGGCTGCTTATTTCTAATGTTTTCCATTTAGAGAATGTAGTGGTCACGCATCCTTGATCATCGAAGAATGGCCAAGTCCTCTCTAGCCACTGTATGGACGATGTGCTCTTTGCATAGGGCTTAGCTTTCTGCTTCATTGCAGCTGGCCCGGATTCAGACCGACAGCGTAGTCGAGATGCTCCGTGAGCTATACCCCGACCTCCGCTTCGAGATTGGTAAGTTTTTTTTGGATGCTGCCCTGGGGTAGGCGGCAGCAGGAGCCAGTCACTTATCTTTGTGCGCAAGAGGTGTGTGTAGAGCGCTGTCAGGAGGGGGAGGCTTCCACCCTGCTTATCCGAGAGTACGGTCTGAGTTCAGTTAGGCTGTGTGGCTGAGCAGCTGCTGCTGGCTTCTTCTACGGGACAAGGGTGGATTTTATAAGTTCCTGATGATTGAAGCTCTGAGTATATAATGCAGACGGTGTTACGTTTCTCCATTTGAGAACCTGGTATCGCTCTGGCCGTACCCCACTGTGCATCAGGGACATATTCCTGTCCGATGCTGCACTGCTCGTTGCATATTACTCCTTCCAGCCTTGGCCTGTGTGCTCTGGCCAAGCCTCAAGTGTTACCTGTGCTCTCTCTCTGAGCAGTTGCCATGTCTACGACCGGAGACAAGATCTTGGATACGGCACTTTCCAAGGTGAAGGTTCTCTTCTTCCTCTGCACAAGAAGTAATTGTATTTGATGATATATTTGCAGATTTTTCTTTTGTGATTCATGTTGCTCCGTTTATGTGTAGATTGGGGAGAAAAGCCTCTTCACCAAAGAGCTGGAAAATGCACTTGAAAGAAATGAGTAAGAGCTTGTTGTTTTCTCTTCCTCCTCTGGCATTTGTGGTGCTCTTTGGACATCTTTGGCTCGCTGCATATGCGCTCTAGTTTCCTTCTGTTCTGGTACCTCTCTGGCTAAGAAATTTTTTGATAAGAGTAGTTGTGGCTTGGTCTGCCCCAGTTAGGTTTTTTCTTTCTGTGATTTGTGTGTTACGTGCATGACAGATTCCTGCTTACAAATATGCTCTTTTAAAAATACTTTGCTTGGTGGTGAAAACATATTGCACAATATATTTAGTGTTATCACGTTAATGTTCATTAACATATTTGCATGCTAAATATGCAGGAGAATTGGGCACGGGCACGTTGTGTTGCTTTCTTATAACTCCATTCAGGCTCCTGCTAGAGCAGAGAGAGATTAGTGCTTTTTTTTTTTTTAATGTCCTTTTTTTTGGTCTTTTTGAATATCCTGAGGAGGGTTTCAGTAGTGCTTATGCCTTAGTTAAAGTAGGTTTAAAACAAAAGATATTCTTTTGCATCTCTCTCTGACACATAGGCACTTGATTCTGCATTTTTGAGTAAAGTTGGTGGAAAAAATACTGGAGACTCAAGCGTTTACAGTGGCGTGCGTTGGTCTTGTAACAAAGCAGCTAGCGGTTACTTTGGCTGCCTGTTATTTCCAGTTTGAAGTGTAATACCAGACAACGTACTGGTTGTTTGAAGAGTCTCTCTGCATGAAAAGCTCTAGCGTGTTCCCCTCATTCAACCTGCTGGTTGTAATGTGTCTTGCGTCGCTGCTGGGAGGAAGGCATCGTCTTCATTTTATGGGTGGGAGAAAAGGGACAGAGAAAAGGTGCAGTGGCTTTTCTGGAGTAAAACTAGCATTCTAGAGTAATGCTGGCTATAGAATCCTGAAATTCCTCCCTCTTCTCCAAGTTAATTCCCAGGGTGGATTCAGGCTTTTCTGTAGATGACCTGCAGGTCTCTGGTAGGTACCTCGAGAGCTCACCCATCTGTTCAGTGATTGCTCTCCTCTAATTTTTAGAGTTGACCTTGTGGTTCACTCCTTGAAGGACCTGCCGACGTCTCTTCCTCCTGGCTTTACCATCGGCGCTGTCTGCAAGTAAGTGTGGCTGCGAGGCTCGATTCTCAGAGGGCCTTGGCATTTCATGGCGTTGGTAGCAGCAGGAAAGCAGAGGCAGTGCAGGTGCTTTTAGGTGTTCAAAGTTTGACTGCCCTCTGATTAACCTCTGAAACAGCAGCAACACTAGAGCTGTGCTGTTGTTCCGTAGCCAGCAAGTTTGCTGGAGATTCTTACTTTTACAATGACGAAGGGGTATTTTGGAGCCAGAGGCAAGGGGACTATATCAGTAGGGGACTGATAGCAGAACTGTTAAGCTTCACAGCCTTCTGTTAAAAAAGATGTCAGCTGTTCTTCTCTTTCGTTATTTTGCAGAAGGGAAAACCCACTTGATGCTGTTGTCTTTCATCCCAAAAACTGTGGGAAAACACTGAGTCTCCTCCCTGAAAAGAGGTGAGTGGGGAAAGGAGGGAGAAGACGGTTGGGTATAAAAATGGAAGGGAGGAGTCAGTTGGTATTTCCCACAGCAGCAAGTCAATGAGCTCCTTGCTTTCTCCTGTTGTGGTTAGACTCGCATTTATGCACATCTGGATAGCTGGAAAATGGCATCTGGTTTAGGTTCCAGGGCACCAAGAAAAGTGACTAGCGTACATGTCTAGAAAGGAAATACTGCCCAGAGCGGCAGTTTTCTGTGGTTTCCAGTTATGCACCCTACTGTTTCCAAAGCTTCTCCTCCCACTGCGTTTCTATCATTGATGAAGCTCCTCCATTTTGGTAGCTTCAGTTCTCTGGCTTTGTCTGGTTCACTTTGAGGTAGCTGAGTCTTTTTTTTTTTTTTTTTGTGACAAGTGTAGTGGTCTTTAAATGAGGTTTCATCGGTCCTTGATGGACCTGCCTTCGAGAAGGATCTCTTGTAAATTGGTTCCTTGGGAGTGGCTTGCCTTTATGCTAAACCTCACAGAGTGGTTTCCTTTCTTCAAAGGAGATATAAATAATTGTCAGGTTCTTGGATCTTCATTTCCATTTAAAAAAAAAAAAGTCATCGTTTTTGTCATAGGTCATATCTCTGTCTGGAGGTAAGCATAGGAGTATTCTGGATTTCATTGATTTTATTTTCCCCACAGCGTGATTGGAACGAGTTCACTTCGGAGAGCAGCCCAGCTCAAAAGGAAGTTCCCTCAGTTAGAATTCAGGGATATTGTATCCTTTCCTGGCAAAACCTGGGAGCTGTGTAAAGCTGCGAACGGGAAAATAGAACTTAAGGCAAAATTTGGAATCCAGGCTGATTTATACCACCCGACCTACAAGAACAAATGGCTTTCTCAAAGCCTGCCCTCCACTAACCTGTTCTGAGAGGGGTGTGTAGCGTGCCGCAGCCCGTTCTGTCCTCTGCTGTAAAGAAGAGGCCAGCCTTAACCTAGCTGAGATTCAGGATGCAGATGAATTTTATGTTAAGGAATGTTTGAAAAACTCCTTGAGGGATGCCTGCCTTGCGTTTGTCACAGCAGTGCAGCCAAATGACGATTGGTTCCCCATACCCTTGAAGCGATTTGGGCTGCTAGTTCCAACGTGGGTGGCTGAACTGGTGGTAAAAGGCACGGTTACCTTGGTCCTAGCGACCTTGTTCTTTGCTAGGCAAAAAGAGTTGGTGTCAGGGGTTAATAATGTACTGAAATGACACGCATGTCTTTTGAGAGTCAGTGCTTGAATTCATATGCCATAATGCTCGGCAGATTCTATTTAAAGAAATAATTGTCCGTATTTAACACTTCTTTTAGGATGGTACTGTGATTCTCGTTTGGAGGCTGTTGGATTCCAAACATTCTGTAAACACACTCAGGCAAATGTGGTTATAAGCCTGTGCGCCTGCTGTTTCTATGCTTGCTTAATCACTTCTACAGAGAGGGAATTTAAATACCCGCTTAAAGAAGCTAGACGAGAAGGAAGACTTCAGCGCCATCATCCTGGCTGCCGCCGGGCTGAAGAGAATGGGCTGGGAGAATCGCATTGGCCAGGTGAGGAGTGGGAAAGCAGAAAATACCGTTCTCTGCCGAACCATCAACTGCTTGCCTCTCGGGCCTTGCGCTTGTCCTGTCGGAGAGGAGCGTGCAGTCTCCTGAATCCGTTGCCACGTTATCTCGTGATTTGATGCACTTCAGGACGGATTGCTTTTTGGGTTGTGTTTTTTTTTGTTTTCTTTTTTTTTTTTTTTGTTGGTTTTGTTTTCTTCGTACAGAAGCTTATACTGTTCAGCTTTCCATAGTGCAGTAATACTTTGTAATCTGATCGTCTCCCAGCATTTCACAATCCTTGTGTCTAGTAACGCAGCAGTGCATGTGACTATGATTTTTCTGTTTAGCTAATTCACAAAGTGTTTCAGTCCAAGTGAAGGAAAGGGTGTTACCTCACTTTAGGGGCGGAAAACTGAAGCGTGGGAAGGGGGAGGTGATAGTTTTTTGGTCAGGCACAAAATCAGTTGATGTTAGGAGCGAGCATAGAATTTGGCTCTTGCTTCCTATATTCTGAACAACTTAACTCTCATTTTACTTTCTTTCAGCTCCTAAGCCCTGAAGATTGTCTGTATGCTGTTGGACAGGTACATGACAACTTTTGTGTCCCAAGCTGTACTTTGTATTGAAAGCTGTTAGCAGTACAGTGTGTCAGAGTAGTTTACTGTGCCAAATCCTTCTCGTGCATCAGTTGCCAAAGAATTACTACCTCCGTGGCTTTTGTTGCCGTTACGCTGTCCTAGGCACACCTTGCGCAGTAGTCAGCTCTGTTACCTGCTGCGGCAGGGGCTGATTTCCATCAGTACTGGAAAAACAGTAAACAGTAAAGGTAACGTGCGGCACAACGGTGCTGGAGCGACGCGGCAGACGCGGGGCAGGCTCTTGCAGGGTCAGCGTTGCGCTGTAGCGGGAAAGTTGTGCGGTATCTTTGCCCTGTGAGGCTCCCTCCTCCCTTACGCACGGTGTTCTAAATCCCGGACGCCGGTATGGTGGAGCTGAAACACCTGCCCTGGAGCATGTTGGCGGCGCTCTTGTTTCTAGGCGGGCAAACTGTTGCAGCGAGTCTGAGTTTACCCGGTGTCGCATGGCAAGTGTCAAACTTGTGGAACCCGAGCTGGCTCTGCATTAATGCCGACAAGGGATGAATCTGCAAATTCATTCTGAAATAGCAATTTTGATCATGTGTTTGTCAGGTACTGTGCAGTTCCTTCCCTACCCTGCCCCCATCTCATTTCCAGTTTAGGAAAGAATCGTCTCGTCACTGTTACTGATTCAGCACTTGGTCTTTATCTTGAGAAAAGGTTGGGAAGCTTGGATTTATACAGCTTCCTTGTCACCAAGGGACATTGGGGTGGGTGTTTCTGTATATGAAGTCATAATTGAGACAGGTTCTAGCATGGTTTGAGGTGACAACATAGAATCATAGAGTGTTTTGGGTTGGA